GGGGCTCCTGGCATTACTACTAGGAGCAAGAAGCTACTAGTAACAAGTTGCCTTACTACTAGTAACAAGAAGCATATCCAGCAAAGTAAACAAACCAAGCCAAGCAAGCAAGGGAGCAAGGAAGCAAGAGAAAAAGGTCAGAACGATGTCTGAACATCTAAAGAAAAGAATGACCTTCATGACATTTTAGACTTTAGACCCTTCCTTCCTTCCTTCCTTCCTTCCTTTTCCTTCCTTCCTTCCTTTTCCTTCCTTCCTTCCTTCCTTCCTTCCTTCCTATTGTGCATCTTCCCTATTATACAAGAATGCGATCTTGGCACCAAGTAGGTTGATTAGCCCCTGAGCTTGATGTTGGATATTTGATGATAGTTGCAACATTTGCTTGCTCCACCTGTTCATTCGCCTCGGTGTTCAAAAGCAGTCTGAACAAAAACCAGGAAAGCACACGTGGATCTTGGTAGCGGCAAGCAAGAGTGTCAAGGATTGAGACAAACGCAGTCACTTTGAGAATGGAAAAACCTCCCTGTCCAATCAGGCATTTCGTTGAGCTCCCACAACAGCCTTGGCTGAAAGCTTTGTTCGCATCTTGCAGCATGAGTGCTTTGAAGGTTCAGTGGCCGGCAAGTATTTTGTGGACGAGTTTAAGCCACATTTTTTGGCTTTTTTGGCTTCGAGCCAAGGATGCTTTCGGCACTCCTCGTGCTATTTTGGAAGAAGCGGCGAAAGCTACTGGCCTCCGTTGGGCTTTCAAAGGCAGGGTAGCCAAACGAAATAGTCAAGGAGTGAGTGGAGTGAAGTTCAAGATTGAGGTCAAGACAGATTTGGGGCGCACCGTTGAAGCAGCATGGTTGGCGTAGATTCAGCCTTTGTTCAAGTTGTGGAGGCCCAATCTTCACTGCTGAGTGGTTTGGGAGTCGAGATACTTGGGTCATGGAAGTGCAGGAGAGATAATACACTCCGCAGATTTTTTGCAGTTTCACTCTTTCCGTTCATTTGTAACCTTTTCGACATAAATTTGTAGATGCATCTTGAACCTTCGCTGCTTGTACCCCAGGATGAGATGCCAGAGCTAGACATTCAGCTTGGGGCTAGGATGGTAAGTGAAGATTGTGATTTGTTGGCAGCACAACTCTTTAGCCTCCTACTGCAGAGGTCTTGCCCGTTTCCTCTGCTCTATCGTGGCAATGAACTTGATTCAGAGCCTGAGATTCGGGATGGCTTCCATAATGCCCCTTGGGCTGAATGGAGGTTCAATATGAGCGGAAGCCTACGCCATCAGCAATTGACACTTTTCTGGTCTTGTCACTAGAGGTGGATGGCTTGAACTTTCCTGGCGAGGACAATTTGCATCCTGAAAGCATTGAACACCGCACCAAAGACTTGGGATCGAAACAACGTAAAGGCCTTTGAAGGTTCTATTTTTCACAAATTCCGTCGACAAAACCGAAAGCTAGGTTTGCATGCATGCTATTGACCTTGGTGCATCAACCAAAGTCAAAAGGGTGACTTCAGCATGTGGTGCGGGAAAAGCTGAGGAAGAGTTGATAGAATGAGCAATCCTCATTTTAAGGATAGTGCGAGTTCAGGAGACTTGCAACTGAACAAAAATAGGGACAACGGATGTCGTAGTTGAACGCTCCTGCAATCCATTTGCTTCCTTCGTCTTTGTTGCCCGAGGCCCTTAGCCATGAAACTTGCAGATGATGTGAATGATGTGGAAATCGTACCGCACCTTGGACGACAAGCTTGATGTATTATTTCTATACAGGGTAGTGGAACCTCCATCGAGAATATGATCTTTACGTGCTACAGAACTTGATCTGCTCGCACCTGAGAATGGCTGGGTATTTGGCAGATCCGAATTTAGGAGCTGCCCGATTCTCAGTGGGCAGCATTGCATCATGCGTTTGTAAAGTAGAAAAGTTGGTCCTTTGAGTCGAGCCTCGAACCGGTGCTAGGCTAGCGCATGTGAGAACATCTTCGGCACCTTGTGACGTCCTCGGAGCGGTGAGCGTTCTGTTTCGTGCGTTTTGTTAATACCTGGCATGCCACCTTGACGGACAGCTTGAGGGCCGCACAGACACAGACAGACAGACAGACAGACAGACAGACAGACAGACAGACAGACA